GGGGGGGGGGGGGGGGGGGGGGGAGAAGGAGAAGACCAATACAGTACTTGGTTATCAGTTGATACAGATCAGGTTTCTAAAAGATTTGTTTATTAAAAAGATTAGGGAAAATATATATATTTTTTAATATGAATATTGTTAGAAACCAACACAGCCTCACTCACTTCAATCTGCTATTTTATTCTCTGTTCAGTCCACTTAAGACAGTTTAGCAGCCTTGTTTTAGTGGAAGATGTTTATTTTCACTACCTCATCTATCTCAGGCCTGTCCAACTTAGCTGGGGCTGGGGCTGTAGGCAGTGCCAGTATGTGGCCCTTGGGCCACAGATGGCTGGGGCAGCCCTTCCCAGGACTCCTCCCCCATACTGCCCAGGCTGCATGGCAGCATGAAGACCCCTGCACTCCACTGGCAGCATGTGGACCTGCTGCAGTATAGGCTCTACAGGTGGCATGCAGACCCCTGGGTCCTCCCCTGACATGTGACAGGAAAGGTAGCTTGCTTCCAGGGCCCTTGGGCTATGTGCAGATCATGTTCTGTACTTAAAAAGCCACTAAAAGAAGGATGGAGTTCAAACAGTCACTGAATTAATGGGTTTGCTTTGTGTTTCTAAACACTCTGTTGTTTAAATGCATCTTATTTCTTCTCAAAGTAACACTCAAAGTTCATTAGAAAATACTGAGGAACAATTCAATGGAAACACTTATTCTACTACACCAGGAAGGTGTAGAGGTTTAACCACGGAGGAAGAACAGGAAAAAAGCTCTTCTTGTCTTTAGACATTTCAGGTGCCTATACATGTACTCCAATTAGAATGAGTTGGAACAGACTAGATTAATCTGCTCCCGTGTACCTCACCACCGCATGTATTCAGTGTCCTATATTTCAAAATGGCAGCAGAGGTGCTACAACTAAAGCCCTGGATCCTGCTCTAATTAAAATGCCCCCCCCAGCACAAATGTATAGACACCCTCACATAAAGCGTTTTAGCAGACTGGTCTTTATCTGTATCACACCACTTCTATAAAACTATTTTAATGCAGTTATATCAGCATAAAACTGGTGTAACGGGTTGCGTTCACATGAGGGTGGACGTTTGTTTCCCCAGGGACAAGAAGCAGTGGCAAATCTTGTGCTGCTGCTACTTGTCCCCAGGGAACACCTGTGCTATTTACCCTCTGGCGCATGACAGGTTACCCCAGGTAGGGTAGGGGAGGCTGGGGCCAGCACTGGGCTGGCCCCGGCAGCCTTATCTGGAGGCCTCCTGGGGCTGCAGCAGTGGCGATCCTGCTGCTCAGAGCCTGGCCAGCATTTGAAGTGTGGCTCCAACCAGCCAGGCTCCTATTCTGGGTGGTGCGCACTGCCCCACCCTTTTTTAGGGTTTTTTTTTTTTGTTTTGTTTTGTTTTTTGACCCCTGGGTATCCCAGGGTCAAAACCCCCCCACACACTGCTACCTTGCAGCACAGAGAACAGTTGAATGTGCAGTAAGTGGTGCTGCACACACCGCACAGCTACGCTTGTCTGAATGTAGTCACGGAGTAGAGAATCTGACCCAGTATTTTAATTCATAAGACTATATTTACCTCGAGTTGTAGCATAGATCTTCATTAATTCCAATGGCTACCTCAGATGAGGCAGACAAATGCACACTTTTACTACAGAGGTAAAAGAGAACAAAATACAATTTTAATTGGTAAAAAAAAAATAACAAAATACTATTGTTATGGTCAAGATGTTGGCAAAAAAATTCATACACCTCTAGTTAATCTTCAATATAAACCCAATCAAAATAAATGTCTTGTAACATTAAAAAACAAACAAACATACAAATACTTTTCCATTTGAACTGCTGTTTTGCTTTTTATTAACAGTTAAAGACTGTTTTCTTGTTTTGGCTGCACTGCAGTTTAATTAGATTGAAATGGGATATAGCAAAGTGTTTTTATGTGCTTTGTTTTGTATTAACTAATTTCACTCTGAAACTAAGAGGGGAAAATGCTTATAAGCTACTGGTTTGTTTTTGTTGTTTTAAAAATGTTCCTTAAATGTTTTACATCATATGAGTTAATTTTAAATTTATGCTTCCATTCAAATTATAGTTTGGCCACTAATTTTACTTGGATGCTCCAAAAAAGATTCCTGCATATGTATATTGAAGTTAATATAATTACATAAAACATTATTTTTTTAAAGGATTAGTTTAGACATTTAATTAAACTCCAGGCTGAGAAACTTTAATAGATTATAGCCTAGAATTAATTTTTAAATAATAATAATAATAGATCGTAAATCTATGTATGGGAAAATGATGAAAAAAACCTGCTTTCAACATTAGGAGATAATACTAAGTTTTACGTTTTCTTTAAAAATTTGAGCTTAGTGTTTCAGAACTCCAGTTTCCATTGCCCAAGGGGCCTTTCCTCCATCATATATGCATACTAATTTTTATGTGGTGCTTTGCCAGTGCAAAACGAACAGTTATTTTAGAGTACTTGTACTCAGCGTCCAAGAGGAGTGGTCGTTCCTTAAGGAAACGATACTCAGGGCCCAAGGGGTGTCCATCCCGACAAGAAGCAAAGGGGGCAGGAGTGTCCGGAAGCCCCCCTGGCTCACCAAGGGTGTCCGGGAATGCCTGCTTGCCAAAAAGGTGGCGTACGCCCGGTGGAAGGGGGGTGTAATCTCCAAAGAGGAGTATACCTCCTCTGCTCAGGCCTGCAGGCGGGCTGTTAGGAAGGCCAAGGCGGATATAGAGCTCGGATTAGCGTCCAGGATTAAGGATAACAAAAAGTCCTTTTTCAAATATATTGGGAGGATGAAGAAGGCGCCGGGTAATGTGGGGCCCCTGCAGGATATGCGGGGCAATCTGGTGGTTGCGTCAGAGGATAAAGCGGACCTCTTTAACCAATTCTTCACCTCCGTTTTCTTGTGCAGGGACCGGGACTTCCCTGCTGTGATAGAAGCCGGATGCGAGGGGATCACCTTCAGACCTCAGGTTGGGGAGGACCGGGTTAGAGAGCTTCTGGAGGGGCTGGACACGTTCAAGTCAGCGGGTCCGGATGCTCTCCACCCCAGGGTGCTTAGGGAGCTAGCTGGGGTTATTGCAGGGCCCCTGGCACGGCTCTACGAGCGATCGTGGTGCTTGGGCCAGGTGCCAGACGATTGGAAGGTAGCTAATGTGGTCCCCATCTTCAAAAAAGGGAAAAGGGAGGACCCGGGCAATTATAGGCCCGTCAGTCTTACCTCAATCCTGGGGAAACTCTTTGAGAAGATCATCAAGGAGCACATTTGTGATGGGCCGGCATCAGAAATGATGCTCAGGGGCAATCAGCATGGATTTATTAGGGGGAGATCATGTCAGACCAACCTGATTGCCTTTTATGATCAGGTCACAAAGGCCATGGACGCAGGTGTCGCGGTGGATGTAGTCTTTCTGGACTTCAGCAAGGCCTTTGACACCGTCTCTCACCCCATCCTAATTAATAAACTAGGCGACTGTGGCATAGATGCCTACACAGTCAGATGGATTGCAGATTGGCTGAAGGGTCGCACTCAGAGGGTGGTGGTGGATGGATCATATTCGACTTGGGGGGAGGTGGGTAGTGGAGTCCCTCAGGGCTCGGTCCTGGGCCCTGCGCTGTTCAATGTCTTCATCAGCGATCTTGATGTTGGGGTGGAGAGCAACCTGTTTAAATTCGCTGATGACACCAAAATTTGGGGGGAGGTGAGCACGCTAGCAGGGAGAGAGAGATTGCAGAAGGATCTGGATAGGTTACAGGGGTGGGCAGACAGGAACAGGATGCGTTTCAATACGGACAAGTGCAGGGTGCTGCACTTGGGTAGTAGGAACCAGCAGCACACTTATACGATGGGGAACTCCCTACTTGAGAGCACGGAGGCGGAAAGGGATCTTGGTGTCATTATTGACTCCAAGATGAACATGGGCCGACAATGCGAGGTCATGGTTGGCAGGGCTAACCGGACCTTGTCGTGCATCCACAGGTGCATCTCGAGTAGAGCCAGGGAGGTGATCCTCCCCCTCTATGCGACGCTGGTCAGGCCGCAGCTGGAGTATTGTGTCCAGTTCTGTGCGCCCCATTTCAGGAGGGATGTGGACAACATGGAGAGGGTCCAGAGGAGGGCCACCCGCATGATCCGGGGACAACAGGGCAGACCCTACAGTGAGAGACTGCGGGACCTGAACCTATTCAGCCTCCACAAGAGAAGGCTGAGGGGGGACCTGGTGACCGTGGCTGGATGCCTACCTGGCTGGACTCATTTGAGTCCCGTTTTTGTTTTTAGGGTTTTTTGTTGTTCTCCCGCCCTGGCGGGGGGTCGGGCTAGAAGATCTATTAGGTCCCTTCCGACCCTAAAACTATGAAACTATGAAACTTCCAATAGCAAATCTAACACATGATATATTATTGCATTGAGATTCTTTTGAGGGCAACTGTCATGCTTACAGTAATACAGTAGTGCTCAGTAGGTTATACTTCATTCTTTCATGAAAGAAAATTCATCCTAAAACTGAATATAAACATTAACTTTTGATCAGATTAGTCTCTTTAACATTTCACTGTTGTGTTATTATTTTAACGACTTGTTCTTTCACTTCTGTATCCGGATGATGCAATAAAGAGGCCAATTTTTGAGCATACTGGGTAGAATCCCCAAAGAGCATAGAAAAAATTGAATCTTCATTGTATTGATCCTGGATAGTGGCTCCCCTGGCATTTTTCATGTTCTTGTTCAAATTTGTGACAAACACCAAGGCTCGAAGCAGAACATCTTTGTTTATGAAGTTGTCAAAAAGGGAAAGCAACGATGGTGCCTAGAACATCAAGTACACAATAGTTAGGCTTATTCAATCAATTACATATAAGTATGTGAAGGACTCCTGATATGAAAAACCAATGATTTTTAAAATATAATTATGAAATGAGTTAACTGCAAGTAAATCAACTAAAGCAAAAAAACTTAATAGAAAATGTTGCAGCTATGATGTGTTATGAAATCATGCCGGGCTACACATTTTTCTCTTTAAAAGAAGATTGGTTTGTGTGTTGCAGGCTGACAGACACTTTGTGCTCTGAATCTCCAGAATGTGGTTGGGAATTTTCCTGGCATTTTCCTTTTAAGAGCTGGAGTACTGTATGCATTCTAAACAGCATTTCTTCCACCCAGCACCATGATTTAAAACCCTCATACTTGACAAAATATTTAAGCTGCAGGCTGAATAAAAATACTTTTATGGTATGTTGAAGACTGGAGTACTTGGCTACTCAAATCTTGTTTCAGTTAAAATTAGGCAGATCAAATAGTTTAAAAAAATCTTAAACCTAGGCCAGGTATCATATATTCAATCCATGGCTCTTATTTTGGTTTGACCATAAATACAATCTCTCTCTCTCTGTGTGTGTGTGTGTGTGTGCGTGCGTGCGTGCGTGCGCGCGCTACCACCCCCTTCAAACAAAGAAAGCATAACAGTGGCAGTCCAGTCTTTCCCAATATGCTGGAAGTGTTTGCAGGATCTTGCAAACAGTCCTAGAAATCTCTGTGACAACATTGCCAATTGATGTTAATTTGTGATAACTGAGATAATTAAATTATTTTCACACACGACATCCTTAAGTACTTTAGTCTACATGCATCTTAAAGACTATATAAAAATATCTGCCTACGCTACTAAGCATGCTTGGGATTAATAAAACTGTTTGAAAAGTTAAGCTTGCTTTTCACTTATTTATCCTCTCATCTTGGAAACGAACAGTCAGTTTCGCTTTAATGTTCTTATCTGCTGGCCGTGCAATGGAACGTTTGGGAGAGAAACCCCGAATACAAATATTTATTTGGATGGGTGGGGGTAGAAACATGGTTAGGTAATGGAACCACTTCTACAGAAGCTATTTTTACGTATGTTCCATACTGTCTCATGTTTGACCCAAAAGTGTTCCTTGGGAAAACAAAAAACCCCCACCTTCAATCATGAGTAAAATGATATGGAATTTATCAAGAGTATGCAACCATTTATTGTAATCTGACTTACTGCTTTTTATTTTACTTATAATAAATTGTGGTAGGACACTTGATTAGCTTTGTTTGTGCCTGAGACTCCCACAAATGGGTTTTAAAACTGGAGCGTTGACACTACACAAAGCATGTTGGATACTCTGAACATTTTGAGATGCTAACTTGAGAGTAAAGGGCAGTACTGCTTAAAGCCAACTTGAAGGGATGTTGATTTCATACACTAGCATATCCATGCTAGCTTGTGGCTAGAGGGGCTGACACTTCTGCTCACAGCCAAACCAAACACCAATTTTGAAGGCAAACAGGATTTTTCATCCCAGGTCAGACTGGCAAGGACTGTGGGGGGTTTCTGCTTTCCTCAGCAGCATGGGGCCTGTTCCTTCCTAGGATTATGTTAATAAATAACTTTTCTGCCATTGCAGTGGCGGGGCATAGGCATTGTCCTCCTCTCTCCTGCTTTAACCCATGATAAGTTATAGCTGTTCAGTGATTTTGTGCCTTCTACTTTCATGATTCGACTTGTGATTTTTCTTCAAAAAAAAGAAGCCTTGGGTAAGTTGCTGCCAGCAAATGAAGGAACTGAAGCAGGTCAGGAAAGGAAGAACACCAGAATAATAACTTCCTGCCAGGTTTTGTAATGCTTATTTATATTGGGAGGCTCTTTTCAGCAGCTGGGTTTTGGGGAAAAGGTACATGTGTACATAAGCCAGGGGCAGGCAATTATTTTGGGCAGAGGGCCGCTTACTGAGTTTTGGCAAGCCATCGAGGGCCACACGATAGGCAGCCAGGGGCATATAAATATTAATTTTCTAAATTTTTTAGGGGCCCCTCAGGCTGAATGGAATGGCCTGGTGGGCTGCATTTTGCCCACCCCTAACATAAGCAAATATGGTAATTATTCATTTGCTTCACAATAATGATTTACATCAAGTAATTACTAAGCAGGTTGCTTTTTCATTCATTATTTTCTTTACCTCCCTAAAATACCCCGAAATGTCTATGACTTGTCTGTAGTTTCACTGCATATGAGTCTTAAATTAGACTTGCTGCATTTGTCTGTTACCTTAGTTTTGTGATCTAAGGTTTCATAGTAGCCAGGGTCAGGAAGGACCTGAACAGATCATCTAGCCTGACCCCCTGCCACAGGCAGGAATGAATGCTGGGTTGACAAGACCCCAGACAGGTGATCGTCCAACCTCCTCTTGAATTTGCCTAAGGTCATGTGCCCACTATTGACTTACACCAAGTCTGTATAAAATGACCACTGTCCAGCCATGCTATTTTCTCTAGTTGCATTGTAACAGGGCATAAGCTATTAATACTCAAATTTGAGAGTACAATACTGAGTTAAAAGCAGGATATGAGGGGGAACCTACTCCATTAGTTTGTGTCCCCACTCTGTTTCACAGTAAAGTAAAACTGAAAATGGTTGTTTACTTTTCAGTGAAACAGCTCCTAAAACTACTGAGATTTAGCTGGCACAAAATAGGGAGTGGACACACAAAACAGTTACTTCAGAGCAGTGAACATTCAGCAAGTTCCCCCTTGTCCCCTGCTTTTGGACATGAACAGTTACTGTAGATAAGCTCATTATGTAGTAGGTTCTTCCCTCCCCACTGCCATCTCTTTTAACACTTTCATCTGTCCACAACCAGAAACACTAAGGTCAAGTGTCAGCTCTACTCTGGTACCTAGGAGCTGCACTGGGAAGGGTAACAATGCCAGATGACAACCTTATGAAAGCATCTGTGGAGAGAGATGTACTTGCGTATAAGATCTTTTCTAATTTTCTCAGCTGAAGTGATCTTTTTTTTTTTTAATTTATTAATTTTTTTTAAGAGACAAGGAAAAATGAAACACTGGATACATATGAAGGAATCTGCAGCGCACCCTTTTTGTAGATGGCCATAGGTAGAAAAAACAACTAAGTACATTATCCCTCTACGCAGGTTAATATACCCACTAGGGGTGTACTGATAAAGATTTTTTTGGCTGATGCCGACAGCCAATTATTCACCAGGCATATTGGCCGATACAGATCTGAAAACCGATTTACAGGAATGCAGCTGGGCAGCGTGGAGAGCAGTGCCCTGCAGTTAAGTCTGTGAAGGGGAAGGGGCATGGGGGAGGGGAGGAAGGGGCATGGCAGGGGGCAGATCGAGGTTTTGTCAAATGAGCTTTAGTTCAAGTGCTGCTGCCACAATTTTTAAGTGTAGAGATGCTTCTAACCAGAGCTGAGTAGGGCGGGGGCAGATGCAGGCTGCCTGCTGTGGGGTCAGAGCTCTCAGTCTTGCTGCCTTTGCCCCGGGAGCTGCATGCTCGCCACATGTCTCCTGCCCATCCAGCAGCAGCAGACAACTCACCGCCACCACCACTGCTGGACTGGCAGGGGATGTGCAGCCAGTACGCAGCTCCTGGGGAAAAGGCAACAGGTTGGAGAGCCCTGAGCCAGCATCTGCCTTTGCCTTGTGCATAAATTTTGGGGGAGGGGAAACACATGGCCCCCATGCCTCCCCTGGGGGTGTGCACAGCAGTGGGGAGCTGCCCTCATTCTTCTCTCTCCAGTGCCCCCTGGATGAGCACCTGGGGCTTCATCCCACTCCCCACCCCCATTCGCTGCCTTGGCTGGGCAGTGCCCCCAGCCTCTGCCCCACTCTCCCTCACTGTGGGGGCCTCAATCTGCAACCCCACCTCCACGCCTCTTCGCCTTCAGACTTCCCTGCAAGGTGCTGTTTTCCATGCTGCCTGCCGCATTCCTGGTCATGTGCATGCTGCAGCTGCACACACATGTGGTGTCCAGGGCCCCGCCCAAAAGGCACATTATATTTATTGGTACATTATTGGCTACACTGGCCAAAAAACCCCAATAATGCTAATTTTCTTTTATTGGTGCCGATCTGATATGGCACAGATATATCAGCGCACCTCTAATACACACAAAATGATGCTACTGCTCTGTGTCATCTTGCAGAAAACACTTCATTTTGGGCATCTGGCAGACATGATGTTGACTATGGGCTCACGTGATGCCACATATTTTATGTGATACTTCTGCTATAGAATAATCTGGAGGAGGGTTAGGATACAGACACATGCTTTATTCTATTATTTTTCGTTTTAGCTTCATTAGAGTAAAACTTTTATCATAAAATACTAAGCTGCCCATACTATATGATTTTTGAAGCATAGATTTAAGAGGAGTATCTTCATGAAGTTGTATGTTAAAATATTTCAAACAAATTGCTCAAAATAGTAGAAATCTTACTTGAGAACTGAGAAGATGTCTTGTCATAGCTGGGTTTGCAGATAAGTTCACAAGTACTTTCAGAACTTGAATCTGAAATGAGGAACATAATATTTCACTTATCAAACAGAAGAACTATACTTGACGCCACTTTGTTCTCCTCTTCCATTCCTGTGCCTTTCCTTACTCTAACTATGCTTTGCCAATTCACCACCCGCTACCTTCTCATAGCAACTTATTTCTCCAGTAGTGTCCACAAGGAGAGAGAGAGCTCCCCCCCATTCCCAACACCTCTGTGCTTCTCGCTGTCCTTTAAGACTTCAAGATCTTTGAAATAGATACTTTCTATGTGCTGACACTATACAGAAAAAGACTATTCATCCTTATTTGCAAATAAATAATGCTAAAACAAAGCAAAAATGTTGTAGCAGTAAATTTTGCTCCTGTCGTTTATAATGTCAATTTGTGGCAACTCCACTAGTTACTCATGCACTCTCTCTTTTTATAATGGTAATGTAACAAAGACCAACAGCAGCTAAATTCTCCTCTAAGGGTGTGGTCCCTCATCCACTGACTTAATGTCTAATGCTACTAGCCCAATTAAATTAATCACTCAACTGCTTATTGAACTAACCTTGTAACAAATGTTAGATACATGACTGGGGATGTTTTAATGAATTAATGATTATTACCATATTTTCAATTCTGATAGAAGTAGGTCTGTACTCTCTTTCCTTTCTCAGAGACTAATGTTCATATAACGCCACCTTGTGGCATGGATATGGTACTTCAGGCAAGAATGGGATGAGGGAAAATGCAGATTTGACTTATACAAATCATCCTGATAAATGCACTGGAACTCAAGGAAGAAGGGTGAATAGATTTAGCTGGCATGAATGTACTGAATTTGCCCCTAATGAAAAAAGGAAGTAAGATTCCCAATATTTTTGCTTGTAGTTTGAAAGTATACGTGTTCATTTTGAAAAACAACATTAAGAAAGAAGGTATCCTGTAGAAGTACACAGGTCACTGCAACTAACTATGACAGATCCAGATGAGAGTAAACCACTAGTAGTTAAGGTCTCATATGTACCGCAGAAAGGAAAGTCAAAGGGCAAATTTCTGCTCTCAGCTCTACATGATGGATATTAACTGCAATCTATTCTCTAAATATACTTGGAGCTCCCAGGAGAACCAAATGTATAAAACAGGGGTAGGCAACCCCCTGCACATGTCACAGCATGCCATGTGAAGGCATTTTGCTTGGCACATATGCCTTGAGGCAGATGGTGGGAGAGCCACAAGGGGTCTGATCTTTGTGGCACTGCAATCCTGGCCCCTTTTGCATCATCCGCTGAGGCGCACATGCATCTGTTGCTAACAGTGAGCTGGGCCAGGGCTCTGCAGACCCCAGTGCAGCTCCCACTGCCTGCTGCAAGCAGCCTGGGCTCTATGGCAGGCAGCAGGGGCCTGCCCAGAGCCTGATCTAACTGTGGCAGGCAGCCAGGAGCCTGCAAACAGCTGCACTTGGGTCTGTGGAGCTCCAGCCTGGCTCTCTTCTGGCACCAGGTACATGTGCGCCTCTGGGCAGACAGCGAGGAAGGGGCCAGGGCTGCACTGCCACAAGGATTGGGCCCCTCTTGGCTCCCCCACTGTCCACCCCTACCACACCAACATCTTACAATTGAGGTTGTGAATGTTTTTGGCACTCAGCCCAAAAATGTTGCTGACCCCTAGTATAAGATAAGAACTCCAGAGTTAAAGCTCACTTTGAATCAGAGAGAACCCTTATTCTCAGTACAGTCCCCCAAAGAGATGTATGATTATTGAGGTGTTCTGCACAGGCGCTTCCCTTGCCCAGTGCAGAAGCATCCTGATGGTAATCTAATACTGCCATAGCCCTCCCCTCCTGGCAAACCTGCACAGGACTCCATGGAATTGGGTCACTGTAGGCCACATGTGGGGCAGGTTAAAGTCAGGCTCATTTTTACACCACAGGGGTTAGTTGGGAAGGATAATACAGCTGTAACTGTTAGTGGTATTACTTTGTTCATACTGCACTCCATGCAGAGGAAATCCCTGTACACAGGGTGAGCATAACTTCTGGGGACAGTCAACACCACAAGAACCCCATGTAGCATGTTTTCATTTTTCCTAGAGGCAGTGCAAAGGCACAGTGTTGCTGTGTGGCTAGCTTTGGTCTTTTAGAGATCATAGGATAGTTGTTCTCAACCTCCTTAGAGTCAGGGCACACCTCCACAATTTTTTTTCTGAATGTGGCAGCACCCCAGCTAAGAACCACTGCTGTGCTCAACTAACCTCAGTGGTTCTCAACCACGTGCTGTTGCCACCAGGTAACACTGTGCAGCGTACGCAGTGCACAGCCAGACTGGGAAAGACTGTGGCACATGCACATGCTTCTGCATTAGGGTTCTTTGGCCCTAAAGCAGGTAGGAGAGTTGATTCACACTGCAGCCCTTCTTGGTCTGACCCTGCATGGCATCTCCTGGAAACAGAGGCATGTGGGACAGGTGGAACTGCCTGTATCCATTTCCAGGAAGAGAAGGAAGGAAAAAAGAGGGGCCTGCCTACCAGGAAGGACTGTAGCATAACCTGTCTTTTCTGTCTGCTCTAGGGTTCCTCCTGAATACAGGAGGAGAACATGTGGTCTGCAGCCCTATATGTGGGACGATTTTATCTGGCTGGCTGCTATTGCTACACCACAGTGCCTGCCATTGTACCCCCGTTAAGAACTGCTGTCTTAGAAATTGGAGTACTGCGTCCAGTTCTGGGTGCCGCACTTCAGGAGGGATGTGGACAACATGGAGAGGGTCCAGAGGAGGGCCACCCACATGATCAGGGGTCAGCAGGGCAGGCCTGAGGGGAAGAGGCTAAGGGACCTGAACCTGTTCAGCCTCCACAAGAGAAGGCTGAGGGGGGATCTAGTGGCCATTTACAAGCTAGTCAAGGGGGACCATCAGGGATTGGGAGAGTCCTTGTTCCCCTGAGCACTACCAGGAGTGACAAGAAATAACGGTCACAAGCTGGCAGAGGGTAGATACAGTCTAGATATCAGGAGGCACTACTTCGCTGTCAGGGCAGCTAGGATCTGGAACCAACTTCCAAGAGAAGTGGTGCTGGCTCCTACCCTGGGGGTCTTTAAAAGGAGGCTGGATGAACACCTTGCCGGGGTTGTTTGACCCCAGCATTCTTTCCTGCCCATGGCAGGGGGGCGGACTTGATGATCTGCTCAGGTGCCTTCTGACCCTCCCAACTATGAAACTATGAATTTAGGGCAGAAAAATCTCCTTTTATAGGGAGTTTGGGGGGGGCGGTCAGAAGGAATACCCTGGCCTGGGAATGGTTTTGGGAAGGGATTATGCAGGAAGATGCTTGCAAAGTACTCCTCCCTCTGTGAGTAGTTCCATGCCAGAGGGCAATATGGACTAATAATCTTTAACCCTTTATAATTACTGAATGTCAATATTTTTCAGTTTCTTTTTAAGACAGACCTAAATACTTTAGAAACCAATGATCAAAAAAGAAATTAAATCTAAAACTAGAAAAATAATTTCAGGTAAATTAAATAGCTTGGTGACCGACTTGTTACACTAATGAAAGTACAGTACCTGCGTCCTTTCATTTCCTTCTGAAAGCAAATGAAAAAAATATGGAATTGAACGTGTCATCATAGGATGGTAGTTATTGGTAACAGACATATTTGTTAACAATCTGAGTCCAGCTAGTTGCAGTTCAGAGTCCAAGGGTGATGACTCAATCTCTCTACAGACATGTACAATGTATTCCTTGAAGAAAAGAAAAAAAGGGATCAAATATACGATTTGCTGACCTGCTCAGAAAAAACAACATTTACCATGTCAGTAGTCATAATTAGAACAGCCTGTCAAACCAAATTTCTATTTTGTGATTATTTTCAAGTTCTTAGCAAATTATTTAACATCAATCAGAATAAAAAAAACAAAACTTGAAGCTTTTAATGAAAACGATATCCCACAACATTTCATCTGGTAAATACCAAAACACAGTATTTTGAAAACAAAATTTGTTCCCATCTCCCCTGGCCAAGGGCCAATTGACACCAGCGTGATTCTTGTCCCTTTCACTGTACTACCTTCACTGCTTCCCAACACTAAATAGCATCAGTGAAAACAATAAGATTCATATCAGTTTCATCCAACTTCTGTCAGGGCATCCAAGGTCTTTGACTTCATGGCAGGCTGCCTATCTCCTAGGGCATCTGTCAGTCTAGGCCACTTGTCTCCAACCTTTTTATGGTGAAGATCACTTTTTAGTAGTAAAGGGCACCCCAGGATCTACTGTCCTCCCCGCACCCCTGGACCATGGAGTGTCCCAGACCCAACTGGACCAGGGCCCGATCCCAAATTCTGTGCTGCAGCTGTGCTGAGCTGAGCTGAGCTGTGCCCACCTGGCAGCCAAATGAATGTGGCATTGGGCCCCAGCCTGGCCAGGTCTGGGACTCTCTGCAGTCCAGGGGTGCATTGGGGAAGGGGTGGGGGAGCTCCCATCTCTGGGTGCAGACTAGCAGAGGTCCCAGGGGCCTGTGCCCCCCCGACCTGCACTCCTGCACTCCGCTGCTGCGGGCTGCCTGTTGCGGCTGGAGCACAGGTGGGGGGGCACAGGCCCCTGGGGCCTCCACTGGGCTGCACCCAGTGGCGGGGGCCCTTCCCCCCACACTCCCCTGGACTGTGGAGACTTCCAGACCTGGCTGGGCCAGGGCCCACTACCATGTTTGTCTAGCCACCAGGCAGGCGCAACTCAGTGCAGCCATGGCACAGAAGTCAGATTCCGCCCTGGTCAGGTCTGGGATGCTCTGCAGTCCAGGGGCCCATGGCGGGGGCGGGAAACGATGACGACACGCCGACAACGGGGGACACATGGACAGACACGGGATGGGATGGACACAACTCTTCCAACACTGGGCGCAACCTGGTAGAGGCCCTGGGGATCCATTCCCCTCTCCCTCCTGTGCTCTGGGAGCAGCAGCCACCTCATCTCAAGCACAGTTGTGGGGGGGCATGAGCCCCAGGTCCTCAGCCAGGCTGCACCCAGCAGTGGGAGCCTCCCCACCCACGCAGCCGTGGGCCGCAGAGAGTCTCAGACCTGGCCAGGCCGGGGCCCAATACCATGTTCGTCTGGCTGCTGGGCACGCACAGCTCAGGGCAGGCACAGCACAGAAGTGGGATTGGGCCCCAGCTGGGTCTGGGAAGATGTGGTCATCCAGGGGCATGCAGCAGAGGTTCTGGGGGCCTGTGCCGCCGCCCCCTCCCCGCGCTCGAGATGAGGTGGCTGCTGCTGCAGGCTGCCTGCTGTGCCACCCCCAATGCCCCTGGATGACCAGATCTTCCCAGACCTGGCTAGGCCCCCCAGCCCAACCCAAAGAGGCTCTGGGATCTACCTGTCAATCGGGATCTCAGGTTGGTGACCAGTGGTCCAGGCTATTGAAGTCAGGCAGCCTGGGAAGTCTGCTGGCCCAGGATTCTGGAAACCATAAGGTCCCCAGGTCTGAAGCAGCCTGCCTTAACTCCACAGCTGTCCTCATGTCGGCACTCCCAGAGCCACATACCCTGGACATTTGCTTGACCAGCTTTTTCAGGAAACTTCCATTCAACTTCTTATATAGTAGTATTGGGTGATAAATGGTGTTAGAAATGTTGCTCGTAGGTCAAGCAGGTAGTAAAAATAGGAGTATGTGAGCCACGTAAAGAGCCAGTTATAGTCTTAACCTCAAGTCTGACTGAGATACAGGCCACCGTCAGCTGACAAGTGGCTCTGGAGCTTTTCTTTTAGCAAGCTAATAAAAAAGGTAGGAAAAGAGACCAACAGTGATACTGTTGCAAGGTCTCTAGCACTAATAAAGCACTTTGTTAAAAAGGTTTCTCTGTGCATACATTAACACAGATTATAGATATGAAGGAACAAGTTAGTTTTTGCTTCTAGGTATGCCCTGGTCTTACCAGGCAGGAAGTTGTAGAATCAGTTACAGGTGCTGGCTTCAGTTGCCACCAATGTTTCTGACTACTACTGGTGTGAGCGGGCTAAATTGTTAGAAGAAAAAAATTCATGCCTAGTTTTTATTTCTCTGTTCTTTCTGCTTGGGAGGACCCCTGATTGGAAGCAATTTATCTGAAAAAATCTTTGCTAGCCAAAGGTGCAGCATTCTGGGAATGACTAGAGGCTGTTTTAGATTACTTTTCTATATGTGAAGCATGATTTCATTGTCTCCATGGCAGGGGTAACAAATCTCTGCTTTCTTCATGCCAGCAAAATATATCTGTAAAAATGTGTTGTTTTAGAGTATCTGACAAACCGTATCTCAAAGACCAGTATTTTAAGTCTTCTCCTTCTACCTGCTCTTTTGGTTACCAATTGAATCATGGTGATGGTTCACCATGAATATGGTTAAAAGGGAAATTTTCTTTTGATTTAATGATGCATCTACAACAGTCATAAGGGAAGGATTGAATTGCTTTATTAGTTCTTATACTACCTGGCCTCTTAGGTATACCATTTTGTTTTTTTCAAAAGGTAGGCCATAACAATGCTTTCCTTTTGTGTTGTGAAAGGAAAACATATTTTTTAAGGACATGGTCTAAATGGGATATAGGGAAAGTTTTTCTATGTTTTACTGCTCTACTTTGCCCAAGGATTCAGTCTAGGGGTATGGATGGTGGCGGTGGTTTGAGGGGGGGGACGGGACAGGACACATCAGGAACTGCGTTCTCAAACCCACCTCCAAGAGGTATCACCACAGACTTGCGAAGAGGAGAATTCTTGGACCACTTCCTGAGAGAGTGTAGGCAGATGATCGTCTACCAGTGCAGTATGAGGCTTTTATAAAAAACCTGGGGGATTGTGGTCTGCCAGAGTCCACAGTCATGTGGGTTGGGAACTGGCTAAGGGGCCAAACCCAGAGAGTGTTACTGGACAGGTCTGTATCATCTTGGTGGGAGGTGGCCAGTGGTGTCCTGCAAGATTTCGTTCTTGGCCCCATGCTGTTCAACATCTTTTTCAATGATTTAAATGAGGATGTAGAAAGCATGCTGGCCAAGTTTGTGGATGATATTAAGTTATGGGGAAAACGATAACACTAAGGGATAGGATGCTGATCCAAGTGAACCTGTACAAGCTGGAAAGGTGGGCGGAGTGCAACCAGATGGAGTTCAATAAAGATAAACACAGAGTGCTTCATCTGGGGACAAGTAACCAGCAACATGAATATAGGTTAGGAGGAGATGTCCTGGCCAGCATGATGGCTGAAAGGGGCCTCAGGGTTATGACTGATCACAGGATGAACATGAGCTGCCAGCATGATGCTGTAGTAAACAGAGCTAACAGCATACTGGATGCATTGCGAGCAGTGCTAAGGAAGTGATATTTCCTCTTTACTTGGTGTTGGTGAGGGCCCCGTTGGAGTACTGTGTCCAGTTCTGGACGCAGCACTTCAAAAAAGATGGGGAGAATCTTGAAAGGGTCCAGAGAAGGGCCACAAGAATGATTGAGGGCCTGGAGGACAAACCTTATGAGGAAAGACTAAGGGATCTGGGACTGTTCAGCCTGGGGAAGGGAAGATTGAGGGGGGACTTGGTGGCTGTCTATAAGTATGCAAGGGGTGAATATTGGGAGCTGGGAGAAAAACTGTTCATTAGGGTGCTCCAGGGGAGGACAAGGAGCAATGACCATAAACTGTTAGAGGATGACCAGAATCTGGAATAGGCTTCCCAAGGAGATGGTACAGTCCCCAACCTTGGAAGTGTTCAAGAGAAGAATGGACAGACACCTTGCTGGGATCATTTGATCTCAGCTTATTCCTGCCCAGAGCAGGGGGGGCTGGACTCTATGATCTTTTGAGGTTCCTTCCAACCCACAATTTCTATGATTCTATTAAGCTGATTCCATCATGTTAGCGCATAACACAGGAAGCACAGCTAAGCAAAGCAGTGACAATCTTTATATAAGATGCTATAAAGTGCACAACATAAAAAATATTTTTCCCCCTCTCACTCATCTCTTTAAATTATATTAGCTGCAATTGTTGCAAGTAATATCTAGAACTAAACAATTTTCAGAAAAGTGTTAAGGTAACTTTATCCCTTCAAAATGTTGCCAGCATTTGGAGAAATAGTATTAGGAACACATCTTCCAAATGAATTTTATAAATTGATTTGAGGCTAACGTTAGAACAATAATCTGGATACCATCTTAAAATAGTCTTTCTTCTCCAATACTGATATCAAATTGATTTTTTCCCCTACCCCTCAGAAACACACCTGGAACTAAAAAAATCATTAGGCCCAGATCCTATTCTACCTTTAACACACCTAAATGGCACTTAAGCAACTTTTAGGCATCTAAGGGCATGTCTACACGTGCAATTAATGTGGAACAATAAGCTCCAGCACTTATAGTACCAGTTTATTGCTCCCAAGCATGCTGTTGCAATGTGCACCCAGGACCACAGCACGTTGAGCTGGGTCAGACCAGCCCTGGCTGGCAGGGGCTTCCTGGGGGTCAGCCTGGCAGCATGGGGTTGCTCCAATCCAGCTTAATGTGCTGCAGAGGAGCTGGATGGGGCATGAGGGTGCTCCAGTGCCAGGCTAGCCAGCAGCAGCCCCTGCACTGAAGCACCCTTGTGCCCTTGCCAGCCACATCAGTGTCTACCTGTGCGGTGCTGCAGAGTAAAAAGCCTCCACAGCAGGTTACTATTTGTAGTAGTAACCTGCTGTGGAATTTATTAATTTACTTCAGGCTAATAGCCCTGCACATGTAGATGCAAAGACATTTACTGCAGAGCTAATTACTCAACTCCACAGTAAATATCTCATGTAGACGCACCTTAAGTCCCCAAGTTTGAGACTCAACACTTGAATCCCTCATAAAAACCATTAAATGTGCTTTCATCTCACCTTTAAGTACCTAGGTCACAAAAGAAACAAGTAGAAGAATCAATGCACTTTCTGCCCAGTAGCCTAGTGGTACAGATCATTTTCAGCCTGAGTGGATTTAGAGACACAGTGGGCTGCCTACTGAGAGAATGGGAAAGCTGTGTACCTCCCTAGGTGAAACAGGATCACTCGCCTGAGACAAGACATTTTTGGCTGAGTAGTTATGTAGATTTAGATAACTGGTAAATGGAAAAGGATCTGGACTTTTAGAACTATTAGTGATTTAATACACTTGGCCATTCCTCTTGACCTTATCATCCATCTGAATTTGCTGGTTTGTATATGCCATTGGTTTCCAAACACTCCTGCATCTTCCTCTTTAATAATTATCTTCTATACCATTTTATGTTAAAAGGCAAAAATATATTAACAAGATTAAGTACTTACCTTTAACTCTTCCTGATTTTTAACATTCATACTCAAGTTATTGAGTGCATTCAGTGCTTTTTCTTTAACTTTGGGGATGCTATCTGAGACCATTTTTCCAATAACAGAAAGGCCATCCAAGTTTCGAATTATATCCTAAAAGGCAAAGAGATAAATTAAATGAGATTAGTGTTAATCTAAAAAAGAAATCCTGAAATCTTCTCTAAAAAAAGGGAAAAATGGGGAAAAAATTCCATTTACTATAAATGGGTAAATTAAAGGGAAAAAAGGGACTTCAGGATTTGCTTCTATTTAAGCAAAAAATATTGGCACACTTGTCTACATAGTAGATTAAAATATTCCCTTTGAAATTTTGGTGCCGATTTATAGTAACTGGTGAGATATAATCACCTTATTTTCAGATGTAATTTTTCAGTAGACAAAGTACACACACACATTTTTCTGGAATATATAGTACATAAATCTTGCAAAATTTTCCAGATGAAGAAAGCTTGTAAAATGGAAAAGAATCAGGGTTGAACAACTACTTTTAATTTAGCAGATTAAAATATGTAATTATTTGGACACATTTTGGCTTTACACATGCTACTTTCAATTAAAACAATGACAGCTCTGTTTAGGCCAGAATACAGCCCCATATATGAAAAGAGTAAAACATAGTAAAAAAAAAAATGCTAGCAAAATATTTGCATCTACATCTTATATAAACAGATTAAATATTACAATGAAATAGTACATAGCAAAACAAACTCCCATAACCACAAGTGCTACCCTCAGCAATAACTTCTCTATGGTATCTGGAAGCTTACCATTCCCACCCCTGGTTACTATTGTCACAACCCAAAGTTGTGGGGTTTTTTTGTTTGTGTGTGCTTCGACACCACTAAATTGTGTTCCCGCTAAATTGCAGCTCCTTTGCACGGTGGAGTGTTCTGCTGTAATTGAGAACCCGCGTGCAGGAGAGTATTTCCCGCCAGTTTTGTAGCCTTCTTTGCATGGTGCATTTCTTTTGCATTATAGTGATGTATGATGCAAAGGAGTTCCCGCCATTTGTATTAAGATTTCTGTCACATTATTGGCCAATCTTAATATAGGTATATGTGGCGGCTAGCTATTGGCTTGCTAGCCGTACAAAAGGCTTGGGTGGTTTCCGCCCAAATCGGAGAGAGAGAAAGCACGTGGAGTTCGGGAAAAGAGCGTGAAGATCTCTAAGCGCTGCTGATCTCTTCAAACCCAGCTTTTTCCTTAAGAGGGCAACAGAGGTTTAATTTATCGAACCCACGGAGCTTCAACAACTCCGGGGGACCTATTTACCGAACCCT